CATTGTATTTCGTTGTAAGCTTTTAGACCGATGCCTTCCTACAAGCTTCGAGAGTTTGTGCCCATCTCCCCGACGACGACACAAGAGCTGCAACAGACGTACGATTTTTATTGACTGATGCATCTGTGAAGCTTATTCTACCATATATTATTTTTTCTTTGCAAAATAGGAGAATCTTATTTTTCAGTCTCTGCGGTCTCCCAGAGGATGACACTGAGGACGATGTTGACATTTGGCCTCCGCCCCATATTCCGCAGCGCTTCTGGACATGGTGCAAGGTTCGTGTGCAGAGTCGTTTATGCTTTGGATTTCTGATTAATCCTTCTTCCAGGCTGACTTTCTCACTCCTGTGGATGCTGAGTATTTGCGAACTTTTAAGGCTATGCTGTTGGATAAATATAGTCCCGATGATTTAAAGTACTATTATATTAATGGTGAGTGATTTGCTTCACAACAATCTCGTTTAGGGGGGTGACGTTGAACGTTCACATCACATCAAAAAGTCATCGGGTTGAGACGTTAAGAGGTGGCCTCGGTGACGACCTTATGTCGCATTATTCTGGTAAACGTGATGTTCGATTCGCGCTGAGTTTCAGCGCTTTTCCAATACTCTCAAGTCCTAGTGACAATCATAGTCCTTGGAAAGGTAGCGAGGTAGCAACCTTCGAAATAAATGCGGAGTGCTCTTTTGGACTTTGAACACACTGTGGACTTTTGGACTGATTAATTGTGGAGACACCATTCCCGCATAGGGGGTGGGCGATTCTCCAGCCGCAGAACTGTACCATTTTTCGTACTCGAAAAAGCACAATGAGAAGCTGAAGCCTTGTTTCTGCTTGATTTTGGTGATGTATTCACCCACCATTTGGCCTGCTATGCGGTTACTTCGAGCGCACTGCTCGTCCACTCCCGAGATAGCGTGAGGTAGTGTGATTAAGCGGCGCGGTGACGCCTGCTTATTACGTACCTCACAATCCAAAACACTGAACACAGAGTCTATTAGTGGACGCAGGCGAGCAAATACGTGGCTGTTTGGTGTGTGGAATAGCGGAGATATCAGCGACATCAAGCAGTCACAAGCTTCTACCTTATTTTCTACATTTACCATGCGCGAAAGTGTCATATTTGCGACTACAGGCCTGCACACTTTCTAGACGTATAGGATCCCAGCTCTCAGTTAATTGTTCTGAGTGTTCCAAGCCTAAGAATTGCGTCAAATTGAGCCAATTCGGACAGTCGGGTTATCTGTGGTGTCTTAAATATAATTTTATTATTAATCATAATTATCCTTTGCAAGTGCAAGGTATTATATACAGTGCGTAACAAAAGTATGTGGACACCTCAAATTTTTGTCCTGCAAAATTGCCTTTGAATTTTGCGATATGAGACCTTTATTGTTGAATTCCTCATAAGCGAAAACATAGGAATACACTACTTCTGAGCACTTTGTGAACTACTGTACAATTATTTATTGTTTTGAAAAAGTTTCTTAATAACAAAAGTATGTGGACACCTGAGGAAGTCCAAAGTTTGGCTCCAGATCTGCAATCCATTTTTATGGTCTCTAGTCCCCATTAACCTGTACTCATACCTCGTCGTGGTAGTCCTCCTACGAAGACGAACAAGCTCGGATTCGAGCTTTCAGTGCTGCAGGACACTCGAATAGAGAAATTGCAAGATAGCTTGGACTTTCGGCGACGTGCGTTGGTATATACCTCCAGAATCCTGATGGCTACCACTCAGTACCTGTTTCGAGGCACCCACGATCTTTGTCCGCAAAAGACATCAGAAGAATGGCCTCAAACTCCCCGCTTTCTGTGGCACAGATCCATGCCGCGATGAATCTACCGGTCTCAAAAATGACAATATGGCGCTCTATTCGATCAAGTGAGCACATCACTCGAGAGACCATGAAGAAAGCTCCCCCCCCG